TTTTGCCAACACCCCATCACTCACGCACTATGCCTTTTTTACCAGCACCCTCTCACTTTGCGCCTCTTGTACCGACACCTTCAATTAAGCTATATTCACTGTCGATCTTCGTCTCGGTCCCCAATTCAAAGTTCGAACCTCATTGCATCACCTCCTCTTTGAAGGTGTTTTTGGTAACCGGTATCGTATCTCTACTGATGTTCAGCAAGTCACAACAACATATCAGGTAATTCACCTTCTACTATACTCGCTTTACACCAATGTTTCTGATGCAAACATTACAACTCATATTCGAGAATTGGAATGCCTCATTCAGACTTCTCAGCATACCCACCAATATTACATAACTCAATACTGTCACCCATTTGTCGACCACATCACGCTCGTACATGTGCATAGGTAGTTCGGGCAATGAAGTGACACCATGTGTTATGGTTAAAAAATGTGATTGCATTGCGCCCTATTCCTCAAGCAGCCACCAATGTTCGTGGCCGTGACAAAGTGATGTCATTAATGTGTGTTCAATTTTGTAACTTTCTTGAAGTGGCTTTGATTGTTACTATATTTTTGCAATTGCCCTTCACCTTGATGTGGATTACCCTTGCCTTGAGGCAAAGGGTATTGAGTACTATAACTATACCAGGGAAGAAGGTCTTACAACAGAGGTCTTACAAATAGCAATGACGGATCGCCAACATGAATTGCACCATGCTCGTCCCTGTGAGTGTGTGTTTCTTCCTCCATCCCACATTTTTGCCTGCATAATTCATGGACGAGGCTATTACCGTTGGTAGTTGTGCGACAATGTCACCATGGTCCAAATCATGTGATTTCTTTTGTAACAATGATGCTTTTTACCAACCTGTGTGCACACTGTTTTATGTCAAGGATCATATATGTGGAGTTGTGCCGCAACAGCACAATATGTCAATGTTCCGCAACCATCTCCCTGACACAACTACAAAACGTCTTAAGCTTGGTTGTGTGCATCATTGACTCTACTAGAATCACGACGCGCTGGGGTTTCCGTGTATGGGTTGCCTCTCCTTCCCTGACTGCGTTTACTCTCCACACCTGGACATCATATCAATATTGCAGGTTCAGACACTACAATGAATGCATGTTTTTTCATTATGTTTATTCTTCCTTCTTGTTAGACTGCAATCGAAATGCCATTTGTCAAGATTGTTTGGTGAGCATGCTCAATGTCAGCCGTCACGACAACTATTACATGTCATCACTCACCTCATCCCCACTATTATGTCCTCTCTGTAGTCAAGGACAAACTGACTTTCGAGTCTGTTTTATCTACTCTTCCTTTGTCTTCCTTCCACATTTTTTCACATTTTGTCCTCTCTCCCTTTATTCTCCCTCTATATATCGCGGCCGCGGGACTTTGGGGATTTCGCCCCGCTGAAAAAATGGGAGGGAGATATATGTATATCACAGCCCCTAGTTTGTTGTCCTTTTCTCTCTCCTTGCCAACGGTTTACCGGACAGTTCTTTTTGTGACGATATATATATATAATATATATATATATATAGTATATATATATATATATACAGGCTAATCGGCGTTCGGGATGGGCCGAACGCCCGAACCCGAACGGCCGAATGTATGGGACCCCTTGGGGATGCGTTCGGTCGTTCGGGCCGAACGCGGACCTAAAAAAAAAGAAAAAAACACAAAGTCATCAAAACAATCTGAAAAAAAATATGTTATGGAGAAAAATAAATTAAACAAGATTTTCTTGAGCATTACATCTGAATTCCTTACCAAATTTGAAATAAAAATAAAATACGAAAAACAAATACTAATAAGAAAAATAAATAAAAATAAAAAGAGAATTAAATTTAGTAAGTGCGCGCGCATGTTTTCGACACCACCATCTTTGGCGATTTTTCATTTTGTTTTGGCATAGCTAAATGCCCTAAAAATTTACAGATGTGTACTTCACATAATTAAAAACCCACTAAAAAAGTTGCAAAAAATAATAAAATTGTCTAGACCCCGAACTAAAGTGAAAACAAAAAGTAAAAAGTGAAAAAATACGTGGGCGAGCACGTTTTGACACCGCCATCTTTGGCGATTTCTAATTCTTATTTGGCTTAGCCAAATGACGTGAAACTTTACAAGCATGTACCTCACGTCATAGAGAACTCACAAAAAAAACATTCAGAAAAAAATAATTATATTTAGGCCCTGAAATACTTTTTGGCGGGGGCCAAACGCCGTCGGGTTCGGACCCCGAACGCCCATACGTATGGAGGTCTGCCCGGGGACTTCCGTACGTACGGGCTGGTGACCCTGTATATATATATATATATATACCCCGAACGCCCATACGTATGGAGGTCTGCCCGGGGACCTCCGTACGTACGGGCTGGTGACCCTGTATATATATACCGGGCAGTTCTATTTGACGATAAATATATATACAGGGTCACCAGCCCGTACGTACGGAAGTCCTCGGGCAGATCTCCGTACGTATGGGCATTCGGGGTTCGAACCCGACGGCGTTTCGCCCCCGCCAAAAAGTATTTCAGGGCCTAAATATAATTATTTTTTTCTGAATATATATATATAGATAGATGTAGGGTTTCTCGAACCTTAAAACCCCATTTTTTTTTCCAAACCGCTTATTTTTTGGTATTTCAAAAAAACAAAAAATGAAAACTAAGAAAAAGAAAACAACAACGAGCCCTCCCCTGCCAATCAATCAATCAATCAATTGAAGAAGAAAAAAAAAAGTAAAAAAAAAAAGCGTCGAGCGTGTGTGTTTTGTCATATGTGTGTGTGTGTGTGTGTGTGTGTGTGTGTGTGTGTGTGTGTGTGTGT